CCCAACACACACACACACCCAGGTCTAGATATCTGGAGCATGAATAATAACATATGGAGCCCAACACCAGGTAACACAACAACAAGGATGGGTCCAACTCTAATACCAAGTTAAGAAAATGGACTTTAGAACTAACTCAGCCCCAAAAGTAGCTCAAGAAATGAGGACTGTCCAATGCATTGTAGAAGACAGAGCACCAATTTTACCTGAAAAGAACATTCAGAACCATCCTGCAATTTGTCATCGTGCTTTAATGTTACCATTATAGTTTTGTCACAGTCAATCTGCACAGTAGAAATTTTTAAGGTATGAACACATTAAATTAAGAAATCAGTCACACAAGCTTGCAATAGTAATTGACGAAGGAACATATAAGTTATGCGCACCCAAAAGAAAAGGCAAAACTGCAAGCTGTTAAACTATAGTATAAAAATAAGCAGCAGAAAAGGGAGGTTTTCAGTATTTCTACTTTTTCTATAGAAAAACTCATACTGTTGAAATTATGACCTGAATAGAGCCTAATGAACATATTTCATACAGCCAGCCCCGACTGATTTGAAATTGATGAGAAGTCAATGCAAGTTATTAATATGTAGAATACGGTTGAGGTCCTTCCTTAATCTATTAGAACCTAATAACATAACGGCCCATAAAGAAAAGTCTAGAGGTTTATTTTTGGGTGATAAACAAGATAAAAGCGGGATACTGGTATTACTTATGAGCCTATACAAGATATAGTAAAGTTGTAATGAGGAAAAAGCGTGCAATATGACTTTGAAAATTACTTCTTCGAAATTTTAATGTTACAAGCCCATTTTAAAACCTATTATAGCCAACCCTTCCGTCACCCATTTACCAATATATTATAACAATATATTGGTGGACTTCAATAAATAAAGTTGTAAGCACTATGAGCATTATTCCCAATATCTGCAAAACAGTTTTCAGTATGAAATGACACGCAGAAGACTGTTAAGATCTGCACTTAGGAATACCACAAGAATACAGATTTATCAGCCTCTTTGTGTCTCCCCTCCAACCCCCCACCCCAAAGAAAAACAAAGACTATCAAATGCTAGCTGGGTGAGAGAGTTGGTAGAACCTCACTGAGTAAATCAGGCAGGGAAGGAACAGTAGAATCGCCATAAAATATAATTACAGATAGTGGCTCATGTTTGTACTCAGAATCAGGTATTGTCAAATAGCTTATGGAAGTCCGGACGAGCTCAAAAGACCTGGTAAACTAATTTAATCCTTTTTTCATGTGTCTACTTTATTTATCATTGTCCAACCATGCCAATTGTTTTTCGCCTTTTTCTCAGAAAGTGCATAAAAGTCTTTCCAGGAGAAAGGAGGTAGAGAAAGAGAGAAAACAAACCGCAGGTAGATCAACATCTGTTGGAATTCGTCTAGAATAATTTCCAAAGTATTCGTGAACTTGAAGACCCTGCAAAAGAAACAAATCCAGCATGAATGTTGCACTTCTGTAGTCATTAATGCATTATGTTGACACATATCTTCTAGGGAGGAGCACAGATGAATAGAGAAAACAGGGAAGAATACCTGACTGCATCTTACACGCATTACAGCCTCAAACCCTTGGGGCCTAGTAATGTTCCATCGAAGATCATTGTAGAGCTTGGCAGTATCAGAAATAGCAGAGAAAGGGAAATAGTAGTACACCTGAAATAAGTGGAAAATTTAAGGTCCAAAACAAGACATAACAAAAAAATTAAGGAGCATGAGATGAAAAGTCATCGAGAACATACATATGCCAACTATTAGAAATGTTTATCGTGTTAAGAACCTTCTGGAGAAGGACAACGCAGGATTGTATGTAACTTAAAACTTACATTCCCTCCAGTAGTTCTAGGAAAGACGCATATGGAGGCAATGTCCACATATGATTGTGTTGTAAGAAACAAATCAACACAGACCTGAAGGAGTTGAGATCTAATCAATCAATGGGGGTAGGCAAATGAATTAAGAAGATCTAACTGCATTCAAAAATTCTAGTACTGGAGAAGTGTTCCGAGGCAGAAGGTGAAAGCTCACCTGATACTCAGCAAACTCGACAGCCATAGTCTTCAAGGTTTTGTCTGCCGGTTGGAGTAATTTATGAGCCTCCTGAAATTCCATTTATATGCAAAAGTCTTCTGGATAAATGCTGGTTTAATGTGATTGAGAAGTCTACTAACTACTGTGACAACAAATACACTATTTGATTTTGAGAAGGGATAGTTCCAACGTGCTGTCGAAAAAAAGAATCATTCAACTTTTGAGCTATCATACATCAATGTCATACACAGCAAAGTGAATAAGAGTCAGTTCCACAGAAGTCTAGGTAAGTGGAAATAAAAATCATTATTTGTCTAATAGTTGCCAGGTGGGCACATGAATCTTGGTCTATCATTTTTCTCCCTCCCAGTAACTGATTACCTTGTCCACACACAAACTACCAAATACCTCTTATTACTCAATCATTTTCTATGCGTAAGTGGCATCCTCAGTCCATGAACAATTACTCCATCCTAAATAAGCAAAACAGGATGACACTAGTTTGTATCAATCGAACCTGCAGCAAAATAACTATCTAAAGAAAATAAAAATCGGGCCCTCCATGTTAGAGAGCACACTTTTAAATTACTTAATTATATTATGTCTTAACACCTCCTAACATGCGGGCCTACTTCTATTTTATATGGCTGACAGTGAGACTCAAACCCGTGACCTCTACCTGCTCGGATACCATGATGGAGTTATGTGCCATCTCATTTGGTAGCAGAACAGGAAGAGGTCCTAGGTTCGAGCCTCAGCGCCACCCATATCAAAAAGAATTTCACGTGCTTGGCTCATGAAACGACTCATGGCAGCACGTGAGGGGTTGTGTTGAGACATAATATAATTATGTAATTAAAAGTGTGCTCTCTTTAAGCTTTTAGATGAGATGGCCATGCAACTCCAAGTCTCCAACAGTCATAACTATTACTATGTCAATAGCTTAGCAGGCAACAGACTCTAACACCTGTATCAGACATTACCCATTTGACTCCTACACTACATGATTGTCAGAGGATGATGGGCAGCAGGGATAACTAGTGGAATGCAGTTATCGGCTTTCTTTAAGAAACGGTGAACACATTACATGAACTAAAATTCAAGACTACTCAAGTGAAAAGAGTGTATGTCAAGTGATGAACAATATAGAAGAGAAACAGCTTTGATCGTCTAAACAAGCAGCCTTATTGCCTAAGAGGAGAAAGTCCAAAACAGAAAATGTAACAATTTTACCTTTTCAGCAGCTGATATGTTGCTTCTTCCTTCAGCCTCTCTAGCAGAAAGGGCTCCAATACCGGTAGAAGGCAAGACTGTAACATAGAGCAAGTATGGAGAAATGATATTATACAACAATTTACACAGATAGTAAATACCTAGCACATGCAAGATACAATCAAGGGTGAAGGAGCAGGGACAAAAGAGGCACTTAAAGTTCCCTGCAAATAGTTGCTAGATCTCCAGACTGTGATCCATGCAATTGGTTAGGTTGTAAACTAAATTATAGAAACACTACAAATATGCTGCTTAAATAATTTTTAAACACTTCATGCACTGTCTAATATAGATAGAAACAACAATGTTTCAGTACAAAGTCTCATCATTCTTCAGAATTGACTTGCAGGTGCCTAACCCAACAAAAGGAACGAGGAAGCAGTGATACATGCTAAAATAGAACATGATCAAAGACAGTATTCTATTGAACTGAAGTGTGCATAGGAAGACATATTCTGGACTTCAAATGCTAAAAAGCTCCAAAAAGATGAATCTCTCACGTGGAGGTGTTTGCATCTTTATGATGGGTGTTCACCTATGGCCCAGACCTCCTATTTGTTCAGCGAGGGTACTGATATTTTATACCAACTTATCTTAGATTACATCCACACTATGAGCGCTTTTTTACTTTTCCACCTTTACGTGAAGCAAGAAAAGCAGCATCAATGGAACAGCTACTAGTTGAAAGCATAACCCTGAACTATAAGAGTTATATTAACTAAGGGGCTCTACAGGTCCAATGGTTAGACTCTAGAGTGGTGAATCCATTAAGTCAAAACAAAAATAGAAGAGTTCCAAATGAACAATCATCCCCAAATGTCGATTCATTTAAGCAAGAAACCTACTACAGAAGCCAGTTTAACAAGAGACCCAGCACAATACTATCAATTCCCTATGCGAAGGTTAAGTGTAAATGCGTAAACAAAGAATTATATGGCAAGCTTCCCTGCTTCCTTGGTTCTGCTCACTCATATACTCCCTTGCCCAGGTGGGACCGGTTTTAAAACTAAGGGTTGGGAGGAACAAAAGTGATTTTTTTCGCTTCCAGTTGGTTTGGATAGGAGAGGAACAAGCGAGGGTAAGCTACTCCACTTGAGACGGTAGAACATACTACCTACTTTGTATCTTACATAAGGAACATGACAATATTGAAGCAGTGTATCCATACTGTGCATGTTGCCTATGAATAATCAATATATTTAGTGATTTACCTGATTGAAATACAAGTAGTTTCCCTCCGGTGCTTTTCATTGCCAAGAAAGAAGCCTAAAGTAACAAGCAAATAACAAAAACAACAAACGTATTATTCCAACACTGACTTGACTTAAATTACTTACCTGCATGCAGTAACACAATAATGCATAACTCAAACTTTCAATGTCTATATATCATTCCCTAGCCTTAAATCTTCTTTACTCCAATCTGCATGCACGAAAACTATTGCTTTTGTCTAAACCATTGCTTTTGTCTAAACTACTAAATGACATGTGCATTGCAAATAGAATATCTGCCATTCAAGCGAGCTCTATGTATCTTCAAAGCCAAGAAGTTAATAGCTAACTTTAAGGAGAGTGGGAGAACACTTTTTTCAATATAAAAGGATAATTGAACGAAGTACTTGGTTTTTGATAACCAGTGGAGCAAAGTACTTAGTAACAGAAAGTAGATAATAAATCATTAAACATTAAAATATTTTATCCCAAACAAGTTTGTGGCTTTACATCACTCTGAAATTTATGCAACAAAGCTATTGCTTTTAAAAGCACTGTAGAAAACTGCCACTGAAATGGTTCCAGGATTATCGAGTAGTATGGTCAATGGTTATCTGCGGATGCCCAAGGAAAGCTAGGAGGTATCCTCTTACCATGCGGTAGGAGAGTGACCAATGGCATTAACAGATTATTGGTGAATGATCTGTGTCCTGTCTCTTTAAGTTTGTTGACAGCAATTATCTATGGATTTTCCCAAGTTTATCATGTAAAGTATCATACCTTGACTGCAGCACCAAAAGCTGAATCAGCAGTCCTGTTATGTTCGAACAATGTTGGGATGTTTTCTAGGAGAAGCTCTAGATGTTGACGACACTGGAATGCAAAGATATAACCACTTTCACTGGGCACAACTTATATGCTTTAGCCATTTTCTTCCAGAAAAAGGAGAAAGAAAATAAACAGAAAGTCAACATTTTGCAGGACCAACCTCTGAGAGTCGCACAATAACATCGCTCTGAAGGGGAATGTAAACATCTTGGACATCAGGGACAATAAGCATCAATGGCTGCAAACACAGAATCGGGATCAAAAACATAGATTTGTGATCAAATGAGCATGCACTTTTACTTCAAAGTACATCAAACAACTTGCCACAATCTTAATGCACATTGGTATCAATCTCAAATTTAAAAAAAGTACCATCATTTCTTTTACAAAGTAAATTAGTTTATGCATACCAATAAGAGAACCCACTTCAAGCTGTATTTAAAAGTAAGAAGCAAAAGAAATTAAAATAGATTAAATAAAAGAACATCATCATATCAGAAACAACTAGAAGGGAAATAGACTGCAGATATTCCAAAAAGAATAAACACAAAACTGCAAAATCAAGTACAATGGAGCAGGACTACCAATAAAGGGAGACTATAGCAGCTGAGGAATAACTCTTTCCTGTATACTGGCAAATATTCTTTCTCATATTAAAACAATGAATTATCAATTACCAACAGACCAGACAAAAGGAAAATGAAATAAAAGTCATTTTGTTCCTTTTTCTGAAACTACTCCACTCCCTCACAATCTATAAATTTTTATTTCATTTATAATTTACCCGAGAAAATGGGAAATGTATTCAACTAAAGCCTTTGGCTACATTTACATAGAATCTAACAGGAAATAACTTTTAGAAAGCTGCGCAAACATTGTATCCAGATGTCTAGTTTCTACATTTAATTTTCCATCTGAGAGAAACTGTGAGTCATCATACACAGAAAAAAGAAAAAAGACAATAAGTATTTGGTGATTTTGAAAAAGCACTTTTTATTTAATTGGAACAGAAGCTATATCTAGCAGAGTAGATGCATTGCCAGTGTGTAAAACCTGCTGCAGTGCTCGTTTTAGATTGTAAAAATGGATAGTCGAGTCAAATGTAGCAATCCCAACCAATGTTCGAGGACCTTCCTGCAATAACAAGTTGTCAACATCAGAGACAGCTCATATATTCTCCCGATAAATGATGTACATTAAAAATCAAACCAACCATAATAGTGCAAGATAGCTCAAATAGCAGAGTATCATGATCACTAACTTCCATAGACCCAGTTAACCCATCCTTTGACAAGTAAAAGGCAATGTCTAACCACCTGACTAATATCTTCCCTCATGATTTACATTAGATTGATGTAGCTCCTTTTTATCAAATCATGTTCCAGTGAATTCAACTAGGACGCATAACTTGACTTGATCACAAACTGGGTGAATTTAAATCCATGCTTATCTCAACTATCACTCTTCCCACGTTCTGAGCTTGGGGCTGTCGCTGGAGCAGCCAATGGCTCTTGGTGCCAGCTGCCATTATCCCTCAAAAATGATGAGTCAACTATACTTACCTATCGTCCTGAATTATCCAACTATCATTAATATCACGTACTCACGAGGCAATACTTTGCTGAAACACCTCTCCCTCATAGAAACGCAATCAATGCAGACCTCAATTACACATTCTGCCCAATAAATCGAGGTTCACCGCACCATATCATAAAGGACTTAAGACAAACTTGAATTTCCTCAAGTCAAAAAGCTCAGAATCCGATATCAGCATCTCAAAGGATAGAACGGAAAAACTAGTAGCTTGTACATGATTATATTAACACTGAACTTCCAGCCACTTCAACAAATTTAGTATGATAATGAAGTTGTTTCAAAAGGATTTCCACTCAAAAAGACAGGAACGCATATCCTAATCTGTCCTTGATGTAAAGACATTGTCAATTAATGAACTAAATTACCAATAATAAATCAACAGACTTACAGGAAGATAAGAAATAACTTGGCTTATTGCACTGCAAGCAGCTGCAGTTGCACCAGTTTGTATCGCGTTCATGGAGACATCAATAAGGAAGAAATATACAACAGGCATCGGATCGCGCAGCTGAAACAAAATTTCCAAGTTATCACTTGAAAAATCAAAAACATTACCAGCCTATATCAAGGAAAATCACTGCACCAAGAACAAGAAGTGCATTCATAATTGCAAGCAGATTGAAAAACCATAAACAAAGAGTAGTCTTGAGCTAAAAGCATGATTGATTGTCTATCAATAAACATCTCTGTCAAAATAGAATTAAATGTGTTCAACCCATCACCACCACCACCAATCCCTTTTGCTGTCCACAGATCTTGCATCTCGGACCAGCAACTTGACAAATCAGCCACAATGTAGTATATCCCTTTGCCTTCTCCCTACCTTCCTCTTTTCGCTCTTCACATAATTATTTGCATTAGTTTAAATCTGAGTATGTATTACTTAAAGAATTATTAGAGCAGAACTGTTTCCTCCTCAAGCCTATTGAAGAAGATAAGAAGTTCAAGATGACTATCGATATAATCCTCCATTCCTCTTAAATAGGTTAAACTAGCAATAGAACAGCACATACATACTAATGAACTACTACTGAAAAACCATACGTTAGCAAACATTTCCAATGGATATAAGCACTAGGTGACATGCAAACTTCCCTAAATATCAAAACAAATCTAGATAGCAGTTGAAAGCTCTTTGCTCTCTTAAGTGAATGATAACCCTTTGCTTGGAATTCATTTTAAAGACAGTTCTACTTCAATAAACTCATCCAACCATGCCACTAATCAAGGTGTGCAAGCTTGGAATGTAAATTTCAAATAACTCTACATCAATAAACTTATTCAATCATACCACCATATCAAAATCCAACAAAAGGTCACCAACCGTATATTCCTTAGTAGCTACAAATTCAACAGTTCCTCGGCATAGTTCTGGCTTTTCATCAGCATCTCTACGCCTGCCATCTGAACCTAAGTTGCAGTGATAATCACGTGGAGTTTCATTGGTATATCCTGCAAAAAAAGATGTCAAGTGTATGGAAATTAAACTTCAGAATTTCATTCAAACTTCAATATTGGGAATTGCTAAGAGTTTTCATGTTCAGATTCTGTCTTAATTTTATCAGGTGCAGCTATTTAGCATGTTTCTTATCTTTTAGGATTGATTGCACTATGAAAAGCACAATGCCAGTCTTTAATCATGAAATTCGATGGTTTCCTGCTATGTTGGAGTCATACTTATCTAAAAGGAAAAGTGAGTTTGGAAATAAGATACATCTTGCACTGTTAATTGAGTGGAAGCAAGAGAAACTCACTAGAAACCCAAAACAGGAGGCATTAGAGTTTTTCTTTTTCTTTAGTTGTAACCGTAGTAGGAAATACACTTTTGATTCAAGAGTTTGGAGCAATTATGTCCAACTTCTATTGTCCTCTTGATTAAGCTTTTGTTGTTTCATTTCTACTGCTTTATGCAGCCTTGCTGTGGTATCCAAGAGAAGTTTAGGTGGATTTCTTAGACATTTTCCTTATCCCTGTTCTCCAGTTCTCTGCTGCTGAATTGCTCATTCTTTATCTAAGGGTAGACCATGTCCAGCCTCTGTTCCCCCAGTCCTTGAAATCCAATTTTTTCCTTCTACCACTACATCACTTTTCCTATATGGCTGTTATGCCACTACATCATAGCAACAACACAGGGAATCAGCCATTGTGATGTTCAGGGTACTGCAATACCGTTCACCCAGCCCAGAATAATACTTTAATAACTCGCACCAATACAGAAACAATCAGCCCATTAAGTTTTGCACCAATCCAGCCACCAAATAATCCTCAAACCTATGTTGCTCGGACACTTAGAAAATTTCGTCGGGTACGTGTCGGATCCTCCAAAAGTAGTATATTTTTGGAGGATCCAACACAGGTGTGGCATCATTTTAGAGAGTCTGCGCAACATAGCCTCAAACATCAAACCAGCTGTTGAATCTATAAACTTCTGCTGCCAATTTATTACAACAACAACAACAACCCAGTATAATCCCACAAGTGGGGTCTGGGGAGGGTAATATGTGCGCAGACCTTACCCCTACCCCGAAGGGTAGAGAGGCTGTTTCCAGGAGACCCTCGGCTCAAAAATTTGGTCAAATGTATGCTTAAGTGCTTAACACGAGAATCAATCTTCTAATACAAGACAAGTGCCCAAAAAGTTCCTCCTTGGTATGACTACTGCAGTGGGACTCATTAATATGCCTCAAGTGTGTCAGCAAAGTACATTATATTTCAGGATACTTTACTCTCTTTTGTCTCTCGTGAAATGCAAAGAATGATGATTCACGTGAGGTCAATTGATAAAGAAGAATGTTCTTTAGAAAGCTAATTTATTAATAAGACTAATTCGAGCAGAACTTAGGACAAGAAAATTCTATGTTTCAATGTTTGCCGTTCCATATCCTATATTTCTTACATGTTGTCATGCACACATGTCAGACTCGTATCCTTGTCCGAGTCTGTGTCCACGCCCCCTAGGACTTCAATTATGATATCCTAGAGGTTATCAAGAAGCATGCTCTGAACTCCAAGTATTAAGTTTGGCAGAAAAGAATTCATTCGTACCACATAAGTTACAAGTGAAACGTCTTCCCTGATCAATGAACTTCACAAAAGGATTTATGTAGCCTTTGCAACGAAAGCAGCGAACAGGACCACCTTGGCCAAAATCAACAACCTATCAAACAATGCAACATGTCATGTGAGAACAAAGTAAAGACAGCAACACAAGTATTTTCTCACTTAACTTAAGCAACGAGAACCCAATAACAGCTGTTTTCCTCCTAATGGTCACAATAAGGAGTAGCCATAAACCAAAATATATAAGAAGCATACAAAATTCAGTTGATACTTCACACAATTCCATAAGGTCTACCTGCTATTCAATTTTATACCGGTTATAGTCACAAAAAGAACATGGGAAAAAGCATCCCACCAGCACCTAGGAGGATTTTCATCGACACAATATATGAAATATATCGTAAACCTAGTCAAGTATGCCAACCAAAACCAAAGAGATCAAACTAATCATCCACCAAACTAGCATCATCCACAGATTTCACTACCATCTCATATAAGCAAAAACTTAAACTAAAAGGTGTTTCTTTAGTTCCAGCAATGTTACAGACTAGTTAATTGTCATGTTAAGTGTCTTATTTCAGCTCTCCTCTCTCTTGCTGTGATATATGAGCATTTCCCCAGCCTTCTTCCCACTGCCAATAGATCAAGACTTTTAACTCTTTGACTAACTACAGTTCTTTGCCCGTATAGCATAAGATGCATCTTTAGTCCTACCACCTGCTTCAAGCAATTTCTTCCCGCCTAATAGCACTAAACACTAGGGCTGACATATCAAATGCAACAACTAATGTTGAATAACTAATTAACTCTTTCAACACATGTTAATGTTCTTTTAGCATGGATGGATAGGCTTTGATCAGCATAGAAGGAACTTGAAAACTTACATATGAGACTCAAATATCGAGGAAATAATATGCTAGAAGCCTAACAAAAGGAAACAAGATAAATATGAAATGTCTGGCAAGAAAAATGTTCACAAGGAGAAAGGGTGAATTACTTCAATGGGCTCTTCACACGGATGAGGAAGAGCAAAAGGTTGGACCAACAAAGCCAACTGCATTGCAGAGGTCGTCAAAAGGTCAACGGTGCATGGAATCTGTTGAACAAACAACAAGGACCAATCATCTACTATCAGTTCCCATGGTCAGAATTTTTTGGTCAACAAGCATCCACTTCCCAAGGAACAAGAGAAGGTATATATACACAAAATCCATTAGATGGAATGGTAATGTACAGATACACAAAAATATAGTGAAGATAATGCACCTGATTAATAGTACACCTCATGTACCGTGGGCTGCAATTTCCATTATCCCTAAAGATGTAGTCACTGGTAGCAGGCTTCAAGAGAGACAGGAGAAATAGAAGGACATTAGAAAAAGAATAAGGAAAAGAAACTTCAATTGATATGAACCTTTGCTTCGTTTTTCTTATAGTAAATTTATATGAACCTTTACAATACACTAGGATTATTATTTACGGAAAAGCACAGCTCATAAGGCAATAAACACAATCCCTGGAAACCATAAACAATACTTTGAAGCAAAACAATTTCTTTCCTGCAACTAAGATATAATTTACCGGAGGGGGGTTGGCTTGGTTGCCTTGACGAGTTGCGTGCAGGATTACTGCAGAATTTGGAATTGGGCGCGGGACATTATCGGAATCAATTTTTGATTGCCCAGTTAATGCAGATCCAGCATAACCCATAGAAGGAGTTATTGCAGCCTCTGCTTGATTTGAAAGTGGCGGCATCATCCCAAACATCCTAGGCGGTTGCACTGAAGCAGGTACAGCAGAAGGTGGAGCAACCTATGAAACCAGTAAATTCATCATAAATACCTCAAATGAAGTGAAAATATAATACAAGAAGCATACAAAAAGCAGGACCAAGTACAAAAGGCATACTTGAATCTAGTTGATCCAATAACTTAGTCATCATGGTTGTAGGATTTCAAGGAACAAGGAAGAAAAGTACTTTTATAAGCACCATGTTCATAGGTGTTGCTTTTTTTTTGGCAGAAGATCAGTATGCCAATTCCAATTGCAAACAGGACAGGTTGATTTTTTTATTCCATATAGCATCAATTTTCTCTCTCTAAAAACTTAAGCATTTAGATGAAATGATCACACACTTCAAAATGATACCAAAGCAGGAAGAGGTCTTAAGTTCAAGTCTGACTCACAGCCACCCACTTAAGCAAAAGAATTTCCATGTACCTGGCCCATTGAAAAGAATCAGGACAATACGTGAGGGGTCGTGTTGACCACATAATTAAGTAGAAAATATGTGCTCTCTCTAACAGTTTAAGCATTTAGATGTGATTCCCACACACTTCAACATTTCTGAAAATTCGAAAGAAGAAAATCCAACTTTTTCAGTGTTACTCTACACTCTTTTTCATATAAAAGGAATGGCTCAGAGTTACTCTAACCGAAAATAACAAAGGTGAGTTTGGAAGAGAGCATGAATCTCTTTTTCCATAGAAAAGATCTGGGTTGATCAAAGCATACACGTCATTCTTTATTCATGGTAATTGATAGCAGAAGACTTGACTAAAGGATTTTGCACGCGACTTGGCGTATGTTATGGTCTTGAAGTAAAGATTGACAAGAAGCTTGAGAATTTATAGAGTTTCCTAATTAGATTAGAGGAAAGATTCTTTACTTCTCCCTTAACAAAGCATACTGTTGCTTGTGTATTCTGCCAATTTCTGGAGGACAGTAGAAAACATAGCCAAACATGCTGGTTCTCACTCTTAACAGGCTAGACACAAACAGAAAAAAGATCTGCCAGTAGTATGCTTCTACCTAAAGGACATCTTCATTCACATGAAATAATAAGGAAATTAACCTACCTATACTGAAGAACAATATTATGAATCTACAAGAATTACAATCACAAACTATAAGCATCAAAAGACCAAAGGATTTTCCAAAAAAATCGACCCCTAGAATGAGTAAGCTTTTGGAGTCAAAGGTTAATGTTGAAATGTCACACCAAGTAGGATACACATTTTTTCATTAGATATAGGTAAAGAGATGGTCAAGGGAGCAGCTACAGGAATTCCAAGAAGCTACTGATCTAAGCATCACCATGCATCAATGAGCAATCTTATGACATTAACTTCACAACACCATAAATGAGTTACATCATCCAGGTGAAGTGAGTGTATAGAAACTATATAGTATATCAAAATTTGAATTATCTTTTATTGAATTTACTCCTGTTAAAAATTAAGAAAATACTTTCACAAGCTAGCAATGTTGCTAATTTGTTTTATAAGGTTATTGGTTTGAAGCACAATTGTCAAGCATAGACAGTGAACGAACTTAATAACTCATGATCATCAATGTAAAGTCTCTGGTTATCTCATCTCAAGTTCATGAAGATTATGAAGGTACTTATCTAATGAATGAAACCTTATCTAAAGGGACTTCTAAGCCATTCAACTCAAAATAACTAATTTCTTCTTCTCTACTTTTCTTCACTTTATGCCCTTTACCTCATGGTAAGGTCTTAAAACTGCTTTCTCCATTTTAAGGCCCTACTACTCAATGTTTTAAAAGGCGAGGGCTTGAGGCGAGGCGCTTTACCTCTAACGAGGCAACGCGTAAGCCCTGAGACATGGGGCGTAAGTCCCAGGGATCTTTAAATTTTACTAATTTCAAAAATTTTAAGATAATATAAAATAAAAAATAATTATAAAAATTACGTTAAAATTATAAAATTATAACAAATAATTTATTTAAAATATTTATAAATTATACTTCAACTATGAATAATACAAAAGGTATGACAACAACAACAACAACAACAACAACCTAGTATAATCCCACTTAGTGGGGTCGGGGGAGGGTAGTGTGTACGCAGACCTTACCCCTACCCTAGGGTAGAGAGACTGTTTCCAAATAGACCCCCGACATCCTTCCCTCCAAGAACTTCCCACCTTGCTCTTGGGGAGACTCGAACTCACAACCTCTCGGTTGGAAGTGGGGGTTGCTTACCGTCAGAGCAACCCCTCTTGTCATACAAAAGGTATGACATACATCATAATATTCAAATTAGTTGCAACGTCGTTACAACTCAAACATCAAAAGTAATGTATTCGATGCAAAATCTTATATGTATCTCTTAAGGAGTAATGAATCTTGAAAGAATTTCGATATTTATTTTTTTTTTAAAAATACTCCTTTTATTTAATATGCTTTCTATTTGAAAGAGAATTTATATAAAATATAATTCAAAATTTAAATATGATTCTCTAGCATCATTTATTTTTAAGTTTCAACAAGTTAATAAAGCGACACATAATTCACCATACTATATCATGATAACTAATTATTTGTAGATAGTTACTAGCTAATACTGAGCTATTAAATTAATAAGTATTGTATCTCGTAAACGTGAAAAACAAATATTTAGGAAAATAATTATAAAAAAATCATGGACTAATATAATAAAGACATAACAAAAGTTAATAAATAAATACTTTTAAATGAAAGATTTATTTAAAATCTACTATCATAGCAGTCTTAGTGGATAACATGCAATAATTTTTATTTTAATTATGACATAAAATACTCTCAACTTAATGATTTATGATTAAGAAAAACGTAATTTTGAATAGTCAACGATTTATTAAGAAAATTTGAGGATTTATAAGGTTAGTTATACACAATTGCATAAAGTTCTATTAGGCAAGCCCAGTACACTAAGCGTTGGGCGTGTCCGGGGCGTAAGCCCTGACAACCGAGGCGTAAGTCTTACAAAACTAAGCCCCACACATAAGCCCAGGGGCATTTTACGAGTGCTCCACCCCAGGGCGAGCCCCGGGAGAGTCCCAATTCTGCCTTTTAAAACAGAGCTACTACTTCAAAAATCCATTTCTTGTCGATACTAACAACCCAATATGTCACGGGTTTGAGCCGTGGAAGCAGCCACTAATGCTTGCATTAGGTTAGGCAGTCTACATCATACCCCTTGGGTGCGGTCCCTTCTCCGACCCTGCGTGAACGCGGGATGCCTTAAACACCAGGCTGCCCTTTTACTAACAGTCCAATACAGAAGCAAGGTATTGCTAAGTTACTGGTAAACAGCATCAAAAGGCTTCATGATTCTCAACATGATAGATTCTTTCTATCAATTAAGTCAGTGAGAATCTCTTGTATCATTAGGCTTACTGAAGCCTTGAGGCTGTTTCTGCAGCCAGAACCAAGAAGCAGCTAATTTTATGTTTACAGAACTCATTAAACTCGTAATTCTCCTGTGACTTACTGATCAAACAAAAAAATGTAAGTGGTGTAGACAACTTATACATATTTTCTTAACTCCCTTGAGCTGTAATCTCTTTGCAATGAATTGTTGACTTTTACTAGTGCGAATAATGGAGCACTAAGTATCCCATAACTTGCCATTCACAACTCTTAAGTTTCATATGTCATGCTACTACACTTGGCAAATAAACTAGCTGTAAATTCTCTGTTATCATGGATGCAAACTATATTGTATTTTTCCTTAAATAGGATATGCGCACAACTGTTACACTAATTTCAGGAAAGTCGAAACATATTACCTTAAAAGTACAATGACAATATGGTAAGCATATTTTACCTGATGAGGCTGTGTGTGCCATGTCTGCATTCCATAAGCAGCACTCATAGGAGGAGGCATGGCTGGGACTGGTGATGCAAAGGGGAAGGAACCTGAAGGAGGTGGCACATTGTGAGCTGATCCCGGAAATGGAGGTGGCGGTTGTGCAGTAACTGATGTTGTGCTGGCAGGTGGACTTCCAAAGGGTGAACGCATCCTTGGAGGGTGAGAAGGAGTTCCAGATGATAACATTGCTGATGGAGGAGCTCCAGCTGGTGGCCTCATTGTATTGCTTGCCGGAGAAAAATGTGGTCCATTCTGCATTGTCCCCGGACCAAGTGCAGGTGGACCATTACTAGCTGAACTAGAAACACCAGAAGGCGGCACAAGAGGGCTTGTTGAAGCGGCAAAAGGTCCTGGTGGGCCAGCATGAGCACCTTGTGCAGAAGGCAAAGCACTAGGTGGCAGGCGAATGGCAGTACCACCCACAGAAGGAGGCACTGCACCAGCAGGAGGTGGCCTAGATGCAAAGGGTGGTGTAGGTTGACCCACAGGAGGGCCAGATGGTCTAGAAATTAAATTGGGAGGCAATGTAGCTTGTGTAGGACCCCTTTGGAATGCGCCAGGTGGAGGAGGTCCTGGACGACTTGCAGGTGGCACACCAGCAAAAGGGGGTGGCTTCTGTCCAGAAGGTGTTGCACTAGGCCTAGGACTACCACTGGGGTTTGAAGGCGGGCGATTGGGTCTATGAATTTGCAAATTTTGCATTCCATCAGGAAGTGCATTAGGATTGTAATTGGGTGGTATATTCCCTGGTCTAGGTCCCACTGGAGCTGCCATCAATTACTAAACAAATTTCCCACCTAAATTAAAAAATCCCAAGTCAGAAAAATGGAAAAACCTCTGTCCCAAGACCACTTGATCTCACACAGAAAACAAGAGAGATACACCATGTGCATTTGATATGAGCGAAAATGTTTTCCACGACAAATATTTTACTTTGTAGAATCATTTACGGGATCATTTTTCAAGTAGTTGCTTTCGTATAAAGTAACATGTGGCAATCCTTTTAAAAAAGGAGGATCACCCATGAAGTACCAAAAAATGCATTGATAATACTTACTATGTCCTATTTTACGTGGTACATTTTCCTTTTTAGTTTGTTCCAAGAAAAAAGCACATTTCTATATTTAGAAATAATTTAACTTTAAAAAACTTTTGATTTTACACTTAAATGAGATGATTTATAATCACACAAAGTCTATGCCTTATTGCACCCAAGGGTGTGGCCTAGTAGTTAACGAATTGGGTTGAGAACTAGGAAGTCTCATGTTTAAATCCTAGCAAAGACAAAAAAAACTAGGTGATCCTTACCATCTATCCAAGCCTTGGTGGATAGAATTACCCGATACCTATTTCGGTGGAAGGTAACAGGTATATCATGGAATTAGTTCATGTGCGCGCTGTTGCGGAAGCCAAATGTATATAGTGTGAATAAGTCACAACTACTATACTAAAAATTATGGCAGCCACCAAATAATAAATAAGACAGTAAAACAACAATAAAGGGAACACCAGAATTTACGAGGTTCGCCTAATTTTGCCTACTCCTCGGACACAACCAATATTTTATTTCACTCCAAAAATACAAGTGAAATAATACTAAAGAGAGAAGATACAAATGCCTTAAACAGATGAGAAGGCAAATGAGAGGTGTGTTTCAATCCTAAACATTAGGCCTTCTTTTATAGGGGAAAAACTCCCCCCAAACTTAACTCCCAACCGATGTGGGACTTTGGCATTTTGCCAAATTTCAACAAATCTCCACCTTGGCAAAATTCCACATTTTCAATTCTCTCTCAATAACAAATTTTGGTTGTGTCTTCATCTTCAATCTTCAGTGTTCAACAATGTTGATCAAATCCAAACAATGTTGAAACTTGACCGCAGTCACCACCTTTGTCAGCATATCAGCAGGATTCTCTGTAGTATGAATTTTCTTCACCGTGACTCCACCTTCTTCTATGATTTC